ACAGTAATAGGTGAAGCACAGAGAACTTTTTAAGGCAGCAAAATTATAGTGTGTGATGTCACAATCTTGATTGTTTATTATTGAACATATGCCAAGACTTTTAGAGTGCACAAAATCTTAAACTATGTACTTAGTTTGGCAGTGTTATCAGTATAGGTCCATTGATTATAGTAAGTGTCACTGCCCTGGTAAGGTGTTGATGGCAGTAGTGCCTGCGTGGGGACAGGCAGTGTATGGGAAATCTGTTAGCAACCTAAAACTTCTCCAAAAGTATTTAAAATTTTTCTGATCTGGATGTAGAAGTACTTACTAAAACGGTAACTATAAAAAAAAGTATGTCTAGATTTCTTCATCATTCCATTAATGCTTATTAAAATGCAAAGAGGAGAAAAGTATTTTATGAATAACAATACACAAAAGCACTAAAGCTGGGGATAGTGTTGTGCACCTATAATCCCAGGAATAAGGAGGTGGAAGTAGGAGATTTAGAAGTTTAACTTCATACTTGGCTATATAGTGAGTTCAAGGCCTTCCTGAGTAAGACCCTGTCCCCTAAACAACAGCAACAAAAACCCTCACCAAAAAATATAGAAATTGAAGGATGGTGAGAATATATAATCATAAAGTGAATTCACTAATAGATAAGGATGTTTCATCTATTCAGTGTAAACCACGGAAGCAATATGACTTTTTAAAGTAATATATTTTTGAATGTAATATCTGGTATAAATATTTGAATATTTTATGCAATAAAACAAAACAAACCCTCACACATAAACCTATACTAGAAGTAAATAAGAGGACTTCACTGCAGAGGCTGACTGTGGTCTTTCATCTTTTATCTGCCCTCATCCATGCTGTCTTACTCATAGTGTGCTTTATTACTCATTACAGCGCAGCCTCATACATATGCATTTGCCATCAAATGATGCGTTATTTAATTTTGCTTCTTATTAAATTTTTCCTGACTTGCTGTGCTCTTTTTGTGTAGTGCTGTGATGAGACGGGAGTATACCTATAGACTGGGAATTGTGGTAAATCTGGATTTCTAAGGACAATATCATCAGCAGCTGGGGGTTTATTAAAATTACTTGAAATGTTTTGCTTACTTTTAACTACAGGCCTCTAGGAAATTGTTTCCCATGTAGCTTTTACTGAAAGGAATGTATTGCATTCCTCATGTGTATTGGAAAGACTGTCATGGTGATTTTACACATCCACTGACCTGTCATTCTGAAATGAAGGCCTACTCTAGGGTCTCATAGCATAGCTGGAAAAGTTGAATTTAATACTTTTATATGGAAAGATTAGCATATTTGCCAATCTGCTAGGCATCTAGAAAAACATTAGATGTAAAAATAAATGAGACAATTTCTTTCTTAGTTGAATTAAAGAATTATCTTGAGGAATTTATAGTTAATGAATGATGTATTTTGTAAGCAATGTTTGAACAGATTACCATTAGTACACTAAAGATAATTGTGGGATCAAGTGATCCTACTCAGAGAGGCTGAGGATGGAGACCCACTGATCCCCACTCAGAGAGGCTTGGGGCTAGGGACAGGACCTAGTGACCCCACTCAGAGAGGAAAGAGGCTAGGGACAGGGACCTAGTGACCCCACTCAGAGAGGAGTGGGTTGCAGAATTTGGTTTTCCCACATCCACTAGTTTTTGTGTGGCACCTAAGAAACTGGAGTCCAAAGATGTTTTCTTTTTGTTGACTAATGCCCAGTTGTCATTCCTTTCTTGTATCAAGCCATGGTACTTACTGGATTAGAGTTTTTGTCTTGTCTGCCTATTGCTGTTTGCCCACAGTGCAAGAATGGCTAGTATACAGAGAGAACACATAAAGTGTGTGTGAGATGAGTGAACACAGAGCCTAAGAAAGGCTCTTGAGGGGTGGGGCTGTAGCTCAACAGTAGGGCTTGCTGAGGATTTGTGAAGTCTGGGTTTAGTTCCACTACTGTATTAGCTTTTGAGATTCCTCTTTACTCAGAAATAATTGAATAGTTGTACTTGAATGAAATATTTGTCTTAATAGGCTGAATTGTTTTGGTACTTTCAAGATGTGCCACACACTTCCCTTCACTCCATTGGCAGGGTTCCACTTTGACTCCCAGACCTGGTGTGATTTGAGTGGCAGCACATCTGCTGTCTGTCACATGGCTCACAAAGCTCTAAGAAGTCCTTGATTTTATCTCTGCATCTGCTTTCCTGAGGTGTAGCTTGCTTTACTTTTTAGTCTTGATTTTAATAATTTCTAGGAATGTATGCTATCACTTTAAGCATTTCTGCTGCTTAGTTCCCATTATATTTATAATTATATTTATGTAATAATTATATTTATTTTAGTATTCTCAAAAGTTCAGTTTTTTATTAAAATATCCTATATATCTGATAAGTTATTTTCTATTAACTATTGAGACAGCGTCACTCTAGGTTGCCTGGCTGCTGTGGAAGTCTGTGGTCTAGACAGTCCTTGAACTTCCAATGTTCCTGCTGCAGCCTCTGCGTAGCTGGGATTACAGACTGCACAACTCATACCATGTATTTTCAGAAAGAATAATTTGCAGATGGATTGTGTGTTAACTATATCTGCTTGTATTCTTCTTTTATTGTATAGAATACTTGCCTCCTGATTTTACCTGAATCCCACTTCGTCTAGTATGGTGCTGTCTCACGTTTATTCTCCTCCCCTTCCTCTGCATTATGGTCATAATATACCTTACTACTGAATATATTATAAGCATAATGACATCTTTTATTTTTCTTTTTGCTTTAAACAATTTTTAAAATAAATTAAGAGAAATATTGTTGTTTATATTTTCTCATATTTATTATTTTTTTGCATTTTTTCACTTATTTCTGCCTAAATTTTGCTTAGCCTAGAAGCAGCATGACACTTTTCTAAATCTCTCAGAAGATTCTATATGTTTGTTATATATGACCTTACACTTTGCACATTAGATGTCCTCTGTCAATTCTGTTTTCTGGCAGGGATTGCCATTCACTACATTTTAAATATCTCCTGCCTACTACAGCAGTATGAACAGGGCAAACTCTGGTCACTCTAGATAGCTGAGATGGTTGGATTGTGCTCCTGTGTCTGGAGGACACAGTAGTACTGGGCTGAGCGGTGCTGTTGTATCTCTCTGCGGCTCTGGCATTTTTCTGCCCAGGGCTCGTTACGTTCTTGAGCTGGCATGCCTGAGAACCTTAAAACCAGGTATCTGTGTGCGCTGCAACTGAAAGAAACACCACAAATCATGTTTTATCATCATTGAGTCACACGTCTAAGTTTATTCAGAACCAAGTGATTTCCCTTTAAAACTTGACCCACAGATTTTGTTTTTGAATGTGTGTGTGTGTACATCCGTGTGTGTGTGTGTGTGTGTGTGTGTGTGTGTGTGTGTGTTGGAAACGTGCTGGGAGGCTTCAGGGTGACAGGTGTTCTACTCTCATTCTGCCTTATTCCTCAAAGCAGTCTCTTACTGAGGCCAGCAAGCCCCAGCCATCTCCTTCCTCTGTCCTCCTACCTCCTGCTGAGTGCTGGGGTCTCAGACTCACAGGGCTACACCTGCTTTTTACATGGGTGTTGAGAATTTGAACTCGGGTCTTTAAATGTGCATCAACAGTGCTAAACCACAGAGCCATCTCCCCAGCCTAGTATTGTTTTCGTAGTAGCCCTGGGGAAAGTAGGTCCTCCAGAAATACCTTCAGCCCTCCCACAGTGTGCTCACTCCCTGCTGGCTGTATAATGCTGGAAGTCACCATATCCAAGGTTGGGCTGCCCTCAGGCTCCCTAGTGAGTCTTGTTAAGATGAACCCTAGTGGCAGCTGCAAGTCTCAGGTTGGTGAGAGAAAGGAGGCCAAGTGGGTAGAGGCAGAGAAATGAAATCCCAGCAAGTTCTGTGGCCAGTCAGGGAGTACACTAAGTGTTAGAGTTCCCCACGTGCCATCTCCTTGAAGGGAGTAGCCAGCTGGAGATGGCCCAATGCTTGCCTTCCTGTTTTGCACTTAAGGGCCTACCACACTCATGTGTGGGTTGTATGTTTTGTTGGATCTCCAAGTGGACTCTCCATGAACATGAAATAAAGATTAAGTGGGCCTTCTTTAATACTGCCACCCACCAGACACGGGACTGTCTTCCGTGTTTTTTTTTTTTTTCCCTTGCCAGGAGACAGCTGAAAGGGTGTCTGGAAGCTTGACAGCTGTTTCCTTCAGCCCATACAAAATACTAAAATTTGAATAAAATAATAATGTTATCTCCTAATAATGTGATTATTCACTCTGAAATGAACTCCTATTCTGGCAGCTGGATCATTACTGATAATTTGCAGTCTGGTGTCCTAGCCCTTGGCTTTTTGTGTTTTACGCCAGGACATCTTGGCTTTCTGTTCGTGGTTTGTTTCTTGAGACAAGGTCTTGCTACGCAGTTCTGACTCATATGGAAGATACTGTGTAGATCAGGTTGACTTGAACTTGTATTGATCCTCCTGCTCTACCTGCGGAGTGCTGGAATTGCAGGTGTGCAGCCCCACATGTCATTGCCACGGCTGACGTTTTCATTTGTATATAACAGTGGAATCTCTAAAGTTCTCATCAGCAAAAAACATGAAATACCAAACAATTATGACATGTGAATTTCATTTTGTATTGTTCAGATTTCACACAGTGTAATACCTAAAACTGAAATTTTATCTTGTAGTATTTATGTGTTTTAGAATTAACATTAAGTCTTTTTTTGACATTGGTTTAAAGTTGGCGTCTTGGAAAGACCTTTTGAATTTGGATTTAGAACAGCATTCTCTAAGAGGAAACCAGTGAATGGGTGCTTCTGGTAAATAGCGCACTTAATGAATGGAGGTAGAGAATGGAAAGCAGCAGCCTACACCTCTCTAGTGTGACAGTGTCAAGTGGTGCTGTGACTGTTGCTCCTGGTGTTGAAATTCACTCTGTAACCTATGTTTCTGCCTTATGTTTTTGTATATTACTACAGCTAAAGAAGTAAACAGGTCATGGCACGTTTAACAAAAAGACGACAGGCGGATACAAAAGCTATCCAGCATCTTTGGGCAGCCATTGAAATTATAAGGAATCAGAAGCAAATTGCCAACATTGACCGTATTACAAAGTAAGTAAACTGAAAGAAACAAAACAAGTAACTGTTAAAGTTCCTAAGTGCCTTATCTCTATGCTATTCATACATTACAAAGAATTAAAGTCAGCTTTGTCTTGCAGAAGAATGCAGAAAAGGAAAAAATAACAAGAAACAGTTTGTATTTAGAAGCCTTGTAAATAAATGCTAGTTAAGTAAAAGATCAGGAAGTATATTCTGTTTGAAGTAATAGTTTTCAATTATACATTTTTTGGCACTTAGAAACTTTATTTAAAAGGCTTGTTAGTAACTTGCTTTATTGTAATGAAGCTGTCTAAATAAAATCTATTGCTCATGGCTTATTTCAATGTAAAATGAACATGCTTTATCTAGTTAATACTATTTCTGAGTACTTTATAACCTACTAGCAGAAATTAGTTGATTATACATTCAGCAAAAAAAAAAAAATCCCGTTTCTCCTTAGTTTCTAATGCTGTTTGTTTTAGTAGACAAAGATTCAGTATGCGAAGCCAAACCAAATCGAACTACCTAATAGATCTTCTTTTTACTTATTTTGTACTATGAATGAGTCTTAGTTATAAATTTGTTTTGTTTTATTTATTTCTCCAGATGCCTTTTAAAAAGTAAAGCTAAAGTTACGATTTTAAAAGTTTGCATGATTTTTTTTGTTTTATTGAAATGGAATTTCTTTATGCTTATTCTGCCCTCCACTTGTTAGATGGTGTCCATAAAGGTTAAAATCCGCATGATCTATAAAGGCTGACTTCTACAGCGCTATAGGACCCTTATTAATAAATGCACAGTACAGTTGAGCTCCATGCATATTTACACTGTCCCCACATTTGAAGATGATGAGGCTACTAAGATGGAAGGACCAAGTGATAGGCAGGAAGCCAGCTGCAGCCCTGCCTCCTGTGGGCTTAAAAAAACTGCCCCAAACTGTGGAAAAGGAGACTAAAATGAATAATACATCGCTTTAATTACTACTTAATTGTTATTTATTTTTAAAAAGCAACCATTTGAGGTATGTAGTAAGTACAGAAGATGAGGGTGAGTTTTCAGAAATCTCAGGCTGGTCAGTGGTGAAGTGCATACCTTTCACAGGTGAGGCCCTAGGTCCAGTTCTTTTCACTGGGAAACAAATCTCAAAGAATAAAAAATTAGTATGTAAAACCCATAGCTGAACTGTTTGTAGCAGAGCATTGAAATTAGGAAATAAGATACTGTTATTTTTATTGAAATTTTGAAGCATTTGGACTCTCTAGGAGTTGCCCAAACTAGTGCCTTTGTTTCTTGGTCAATGCCAGCTCCTTGATGTCCCATTGCCTGAGGTTTGCTAGGAAGTGTCATTGGTAGGGTTGCTGTGTGGGCTGGGACTCCTACTCTGCACTCTTAGAATGTCAGGACTTCTCACCCTTCCCATACATTTTGAATCAAGCTGTTCTGCTTCATTCAGTGTCAGAATGCACAGGTATCTTTTAAACTTTTAAAGTACCTTAAGTTGCCCAAGCCCATAGGTGAGTTCTTGTCCAGACCTTGGTCTCTTTCTGTGCTGACTGGTGAGCAGTCCCATTTAATGTGAAGTAAAAGCTAGTTTTAGTCAGGTCTTAAGTGTTAGGATCTTTGAGGTTACTGGCTTATGACCTAGTATATCCTTGAGTATCTTGTCCAACTCTATGTAATGGTGTGGTTCTGCCTGTTTTTATTTTTATTATTTTAATCTATAAGTCTCATGGCTATCTTTTTGTTGTTGTTCTCCTCTGGGATTTTTACTAAGGAAACTGGGTTATTTGTTCTGCAGTTTCCATATTCTGGCTGTGCTGATCATATCACTGCAGTCTAGTAACTCAGGTGTGGCCCCAGTCCCCTGAATTTAATGGGACTGGGATAGTTGGATTAGAGACTGTGGTTAGATGGTGTAGGTGGTGCTGTGCTCTACTGTAGGAGGCACAAGTTAACTGTTTTTTCTTTTGTGGCATTTGTAGCCATTATCTTAGAGCTGAGAAGTTGGGAAGGTGTGAACAGTGATAATAGTCCATTTATCTTCGTATTTCTTCCAGCTAGAGCACTTTCCTCAGTATAAGCTTCTCTGAGCCTGCCATGCGGCTGCTGTACAGTAGTTCACAGCACAAAAGGATGTTTCACCTTACTGCTTTTAAAGATGACATTCCGTTCCCCTCCCCAAGACAGGTTTCTCTAGCTATCCTGGAACTCACTCTACAGACCAGGCTGACCTCAAACTCATAGAGACCCACCTGCTTCAGCCTTGGGTGCTGGGATTAAAGATGTGCAGTGCTGCTCTACTAAAGATAGCATTCTTTTCTTCTTTCTTTCTTTCTTTCTTTCTTCTCCTCTCCTTCCTCCTCCTCCTTCTCCTTTCTCTCCTCCTCCTCCTCCTCCTCCTCCTCCTCCTCCTCCTCCTCTGTCTTCTTTTTTGTAAAGATATAAGTCAACAAAGTCTAGTATACCAGGTTGAAGCAGGACCAAGCCCCTCCCCTCTGTATCAAGGCTGGGAAAGGTATCCCACCATAGGGAATGGGCTCCAAAAAGCCATTTCATGCACCCAGGATAAGTCCTGGTCTCACTGCCAACCCCCTCCCCACAACAGATGAAGCCACATAGCTGTCACACATTCAGAGGGCTTAGTTTGGTCCCATGCAGGATCTCCAGCTGTCAGCCCAGAGTCCATGAGCTCCCGCTAGCTCGGGTCAGCTTTCTCTGTGGTTTTCCCAGTCATGTTCTTAACCCCCCCTCTTGCTCATATGATCCCTCCTCCCTCTCTTCAACTAAGCTCCAGGAGCTCAGCCCGGTGCTTGGCTGTGGATCACTGCATCTGCTTCCATCAGTTACTGGATGTAGGTTCTATGATGACAATTAGGGTAGTCACTAATCTGATTATAGGGGAATTAGGAAAAAACCATCCTGAGTGAGGTAACCTAGATCCAGAAAGACAAATATATTATGTACTCACTTATAAGTGGATATTAGATATAAAGCAAAGGATAACCAGACTACAACCCACAACTCCAGAGAAGCTAGGTAAAAAGGAAGACCCTAAGAGGGACACATGGAGGGCCCAAGGAAAGGGAAATAAGTAAGATCTTCTGGGTAAACTGGGAAGGGGAGTAGAAAGGAGAGGATGGGTGATGGGAACAAGGGGACCCGAGATGATCGAGTTGGGAGAGAGACGGGGAGAACAATGAAAGAGATATCTTGATAGAGGGAGCCATTATGGAGTTAGGGAAAAAATTCCCAAGAATCCACAAGGATGACCCTAGCTAAGACTCCTAGCAGTAGCTGAGAGGGTGCCTGACCTGGCCTTCCCTACAGTACACATTATCCTCCTTCTCTGTGAGTGTGTGAGGCCCTCTGGTTGTCACTGCTCACCGGTCCTGGGCATTGGACTGAGAAGCTATTGGCTTAAATCATGACTTTTTTTTTTTTTAAGTTTTATCTTTATTTATGTTTTTGCCTGTGATATGTTTGTACACTGTGGGCATGACTGGTGTCTGTGGAGGCCAGAAGAGGGCCCAGATCCCCTAGAGTTAAACTGGCCTATGGATGCTGAGACTTGATTCATGTAGTTCACAAGAGCTATTAACCACTGAGCCATCCCTCCAGTCCTTCGCATGTACATCCTGTTGGGCAGTCCTCCATAGCTGGTAGTGCCAAATGCGGGTGGAACTCTAGGAAGGTTGTTCTCACGTGCTTAGAAGAAGGACAGTATCTTCCTAAGAGATAGAAAAAGATGCCCTCAAGGTGCAGCCACAAGTAAACTATGACCTGTCAACAAAACCATTTTTATATTTGAAGGAACTAATGTTTAATTATCAAAATTCATTTGAATCATTATTTTATCATAAATAAGACTAAAGAGTTTAGATTATCTGTGGAGATGACTGGAAAAGCAGCTCTCTTCTACGGTGTCCGTAAGTGTATGGAACAGTAGGTTTGTGTGCACTTACCTCTTCTGTGCAGTTTGGATAGATAGGTTTATGACAAATCTTGGGAACATTTGGCCTCAAATATTTATGTTCAACAAGTATTTTGAAAATATTTATGTGTTTAATATGATGTGCATTAGAGTTAAATCAAGACACAAAGGACAAAGAATCTTGTGAACAGAAGTAGTCACAGAAGTGAAACTTAGACTTTGAATCTCTGAGCTGTGGCAGTTCCTGACTCATTGTTCCTGGATTTTTAAGTGTTCTGGGCATTATAAACTGCAGGAATAATAGGTCACCTCCTTTTTCTCCTTAACCCAGATAGGGTACTCACATCTTGTTTGGATAGTTTTAACACGGTATTAGAGGGTTATTAGAAGATGGTTTAAACACGTGCTGATGAGGTCAGTGGAGATTATACTTGTCTTTACTGGCATTTCTGGCTAGGCAGGATACTTAACGTAGGAGCACTTACTTTCTACTGTCTTCTAGAGAGGCAGTTGAAGTAGTCACTGGCCAAGCTTCTTCCTTGCCTTGTGCACTTGGCTCTGCATTTCTAGGGTTGTCTTGATGGAGTTTGTTCTACTGAATTCAGAATTAATTATATGTATTGCTTACTTTAGGGTCAAATCCCAGGTAGAAAGTGAGGCCTCTGACCTCTTGCAACATGTTTGGCATTGACATTTCTGAGTCCTTCTGGATTTCTTGTCACTACAGACATACCTAGACCTGAACTGTAAGTCCTCCTTGTGCCTAGGCTTCCTGTGAAGGTACAAGTAGATGCACATTGCTTATTTACTAAGATTCTGTGACACCCACTTTCTAGGATTGATGTGAAATTTAGCCATGTGTCTCTGTGAGATTTTATTCCCTCAGGATTATCAGAGAGGAAGAGAATGAGCATTGCCTAAATATTTAATTCTAAACTCTTTAGAAATATGTTAGCTTCAGAGGCTGACATCTACCCTCACTGTTCTGCTCACGGGTTCTCAGGAGTCCTGACGATGCCACTTCCACATTCTCATCTCAGTTCCCACTGACTCCTTTTATGTTCTGAGAGATTTGTGGACA